GAATAAAGGTCTGGTGATCCCTCGGTGCGAGGCTGTTCCGGGAGAGCTCCGGGGCCGGCATGGCTGAGTGGGAAATGCACAACATTTCCTGCCTTTGTATGCACAGCGGCCACAGAAACACAGACCACGGCCCTAACAAACATGTCATCAGGCTGCAAAATTATGGCCCAGGGCAAATATCCGTGAGTGATACTAAGGGCTTTCTTCTGTTCTTTTGAGGCTTATATCTCAGGAGCGAAATGAATAGTTTTAAGGGTTATTTACAATTTATGATGTATTCTGTAAGTACCTCTTGTTGAATGTTAGGATTGACACAAGCAGTCCTACAAATGTTGAAGTGTTTTTACTTAAATGTTTTTGCTTAAAGGAAATAAGGGGACATCCACAGAACCACCTGCTCTTAAACTGACCATTCCCGCTGGCAGCGCAGACTCGGGTCTTTGCTCTGGCCATGTGCAAAACACACATGAGGCTCAAACCTGCAACCGATGGCAGCAGGGCCCCCACTTTTTGGATCAACCGACCTCTGCCAACCTCACTGAGCACCTCGCAACCCACCGAGCACACTGGCACACTCCGGTCTGGATTCACTCACGTCTGCAGGAGGGTGTCAGCACCCCAGCCTCCCCTAAGCAGAAAGGGACAAGATGTAGCTGCATTTGTTTAGGGCTTGCTCGGCTCATTACATCACACTCCGAACCAAGCGTGCAGTATGATATAATAAGCCAAGCAAGCCCTAAACAAATGCAGCTACATCTTAGCAGTGGCTCTGTGATAAACTGAGCTGAGACGACAGAGTAACTGCAAAGGTGGAGGGCTTATTTCCACGTGGGAAGGGAAAATAATTTTGCTGGTAGGGAGTACTCCAACCTTGTGGTGAACTGGAAAGTTTCAGCACGTATCCAGCGCAGAATTCAAGCTGTGATCCAAGGTGGGATTCTCTGTAATCCAAAATCCTGCAGGCTTCCTGTAACATAAGGTCCCATTACACAGGATTGTGGACAAATGCTAGAATCCAGGGAAAACTTAATACAGATGTAACAAACTCCTGTGACATTTATACTATGTTTATTAGTTTATTATTCTACTTCAAGATTATCAAGGTCTGCCACAACATGTGTATTTGATCTCTGGACAACTGTGGACCTCACTGGAGGAGCTGAAGGAACAATGCAATGTCCCTGTGTTTCGTGGCTGTTAAATCAGCAGAAATCCCCAACCACCCCAAGTTGGAGACTTGGGGTGTCCTCCTTTTAGCCTGGAGAAAAGGAGGCTGAGGGGAGACCTCATTGCTCTCTACAACTACCTGAAAGGAGGTTGTAGCGAGGTGGGTGTTGGTCTCTTCTCCCAAGTAACTGGCGAAAGGACGAGAGGAAATGGCCTCAAGTTGCGCCAGGGGAGGTTTAGATTGGATGTAAGGAAAAATCTTTCTTAAGAGGACTGTTTTATGGCTGCAGAGATTTGGAGTAATGAGAAAATTATTGTACATAAGGCACTCATCGCAATTCTTTCATCCTGTCTCCAGCATTTGTCTTCCTGTCAAGCTCTTTGCCTTTGAACAGGCTGCCCAGGGAAGTGGTTGGTTCACCATCCCTGGAGGTATTTAAAAGACGTGTAGATGAGGTGCTTAGGGACATGGTTTAGTGGGCATGGTGGTGTTGGGTCAACGGTTGGACTCGATGATCTTAGAGGTCTCTTCCAACCTTAACGATTCTATGATTCTATGATTCTAAGTTCTAAGCAGGTTTCTTTGGAAACCGAGCGCAGAGGCAGGCAGCAGGTCATTGACTGCATTTCAGGTGTCCACCCACACGTGTGTGAAAAGAACATACAAAAAGGGAATAAAATGGGCAGGCAGCACTAATATAGACCTAGAGAAGGACCAGGGACAGCAAGCACACTGAGGAGGATCTCTACACCAAATGTTTTCAGTTGTTTGTGCCAAATCCAAGGAAACAGGATCCTACAGATACTCTTTGTGTAAAGACAGCATTGCACTCAAGTTTTTACTTTGGCTTCACACCTCCCCTCCCCCTTGTACCTTTTTTTTAATTACTTCCTTTCCCTTCCTTTTTTTCCCCACTTTGCCTATTTCCACCCTTTTGCAACAACCCACCCTCCAAGAAGCACGGTACCAACATGATGTTCACAGCCTTTGCACCTCTCATGCCTCACACCCTGCCCTGTGTGCTCTTCATTACTCTCACCGTGAGCTCCCTGGAGCAGGGCCGTGTGCTATTGCACTTGCACAGCCCAGAGACCACCAGGCCCCGCTCCCGGTTTGCCAGTCCTGCCACCAAGCGCGTTATTATAATAATAATAATAAAGATCAGGAATCGCCTGGTCATTTTCTCTTTCTGATACTAATGACCCGCTGTGCGCCGGCCCCAGGCAGATGCTTGGCTGAGCCCCCTAAGCCCAGGTGTGCAGTCACCTCAGGGAGCAGGTCCTTCTGAGGGGACTGCTCCGCGGCACGGCGGCTCCGCCAGCGCCACACGGAGGGTTTCATC